CTAGGTGCTCTACTATGGGAGAGCTGTGTGTCGTCCCTGCTAAAAACCAAGAGCTAGCTGTGTGTGACTTTGATCTTAGCCAAAAGGCCTGCCATAATAATAGACTCGAAGTGGTTTTTAGGGGCGAAGCTCCTTATAGCGGCACCCGTCGTCCCTCGTAGTCATATTGTGTGACAATTTTACATATTGACCTCTAAGGAGGTGCCGGGTCGGAGATTTCTTCTGTACGTAGTTGAACAATGAAAATAGTGCTCAATGTACATGCCAATGGCTGCTAATGGGGAATGGGAGGACAGGAGCATTCGGCATTCAGTTAACGCCCATGCTGCGATTCCCGTTAGCAGCCATTGGCATGTTACATTGAACACTATCTCACAAGAAAGGGTTGCTACGCTATACTCGCTGGGTGTAACCTCCGTAGTTTTAGAAAGCTTTAGCGAGTGTTGAGCCGCAGTGCCATGAATACAATGAACAAGTATATACCATAAGCTCGAGGTGGTTACAGGTGGGAAGTAGATACGAACACAAGCCGCAGGAAAAGTGAAAGTCGGAATGCTCATGTCTCGCATTTCTAATTAGCAGCCATCGGCATGCACATTAAGCACTATCTGACAGGAAAACGTTGCCACGGTCTACTCGCTGGGCGTAACCTCTTAGTTTTAGAAAGGTTTTAGCGAGCGTGCGCCGCAGTGCCATGAATACAGTGAACTAGTGTATACCATGAACTCGAGGGGTTGAAGGTGGAAAGTAGACCCGAAGCGCAAGCCTTAAGAAAGGTGTGCGTGTGGAACCTCTTGTTTAGTCCTTGGAATGTCGCTGGATGGCTGTGAGTCTATATGGAGAATAATTAATGAAAAAATGTGAGATGCATGGTACTTGAAGTGCTTAATAGATGGGACGAACGGACCACCAGACGGATGCATGGATGGACGCATGAACGGACGCAGGGTGGATTCATGGACAAACGCAGGGACAGACGCATGAACAGACGCACGCACAGACTGGGTGGATGGACGTATGGACGATCACACAGACGGACACAATGGAACGAACGAAAGCAAGAGCGAATGACGGGCCATGCTTCGCCCCACTCTCCATCATTCACTCCGTAGATATGCTGCCAACTTTTTATGAGATTCTTAAAGAGAAACAAAAAGAAAAGTGAGCCCCGTAACTGTCTGCATCAGAGTGTGACACCTAATCATTAGATCACGATGGATGGGAGTAAGCAGGGATTAAAAAGTAAATAGATAAAGGAAGGAGAGAGCGGGGTGTAGGGCCAGCGGACGACAAAAAAACCACGGAAGTAAAGAGGAGATATGAAAGATAGACACGGTCGCAAGAGTCCGAGGACGGGGTACCACTCTGCGAGAGCTTTTGTCGGCGGCAGGAGATGAGGTAGGGCAAGCCAGTCGGCAGGGCTGCGCTGTCGTCGGAAATTGCGGGGGCACAACCAGTCGGCATAAATCCACAGAACGAGCCCGTAATATTATACTCACGGGGCACATTTATATGCACAAAGGTTACGCTACGAGGGCGAATCTTTTGCACAAGTAACACTACGAGTGGTAGTCCGGTATGCCATGCGTTCCGTACCACTGCCAAAAGTAGTGGCTGTGCGCGATAAGTTCCGTATCGATGCAGACGCTGCTTGGTGTACTAGATAGGCGTAAAAGGCCCGGACGTCTCAGGCGTTGAAAGGGGCGGAGTGCCAGAATATTGGCAGATCCCACGTATAGTGAGAATCGAGGATATGCAAAGCACAAATGAAAATTGTTGATATGTAACTTTAAAATCAGCACAACGTTATGAGGTGGAGGTATATGAAGGCGTATATGAATCCCGTGTTATGATTTTCATATTTGCATGCGTCGTTTACATTTGACATCTATTCACGTCACGTGATTCCAAATTTAGTATATGTGGAGCTAGCGAAACGGCTGTGAGGACGCTATAAGCGTGGTATGTTGTCATGTTTTTACATGACACGCGTGTCAGGATTATCATGTTTGTACCAGTAATGTAATTTGTCAAAACATCTACGTCACCTAACACCAAATTTGGTACATGTGGAGCTTGCAAAATGGCCACGAGCGCATCATGAAGGGCCCAATATAATCCATTGTAGTGTTGACAGGTGCGCATGCTGACACTGAGACGCAACTTTAGCGGAACGCGAGCACTCTGTAGTCTGACGCCAGACGTCACCAGCGTCACTCAGCTCGGTGCGACGGTGACCGGCGCGAAATGTGACATGCTGCTTTTCACACCGATGCCTTACCGAGGAAAAACACTGCGTCTCCTTTTCCTTACAGAGGGACACCAGACACGTTGAAACGCGCATGCGTCTAAGCAGCGCATTGCGACGCGCGCCTACGAGTATATGACAGGACGGGCACCCGCTGTGGCAATGCCAACGTGACGACACCAAATGAACGCCGACAAGCACGCGCACCTCGTCACGTCGAAATCTATTGGTGCCTTGACTGTGGCATGTAGTCGTGTTCTCACATGACACGCCCCTCATGATTATTATGTTTGCATTGTCACATACATTCGTCATCTACTGGTGTCACGTAATACCAAACTTGGCATATGTGAAGATAGCGAAACGACCGCGAGCGCATCATGAGCGTAGCATGTAGTCAGGTTGTTACATGACACGCATCTTATGTTTATTATGTTTGCACCAGTATCATACCTTCTCGTTATCCATTCACGTCCCGTAATACCAAATTTCGTATAAGTGAAGCTAGCTTAACGATCGCCAGCGCATCATGAGCGTGGCATGTAGCCATGTTGTTGCATGGCACGCATATCATGAATATCATGTTTGCACCAGTCAGATACCTTCGCCATCTATTCACGTACTGTTATACTAAATTTGGTATATGTGACGCTAGCGAAATTACCACGAACGTATCTTGAGCGTGGCATGTAGTCATGTTGTTACATGACACGCATATCACGATTTTCATGTTAGGGTCTGTCGCTTGTGTTCGCCAAGCAATAATGCCATACTATACCAGTTTTGCAACATGCCATGTGAACAAAACCACTGTGAGAGCTGCAGGACCATGAAATGTGGTTCGCGACATTTATGACATACATTTCATGATTTTCATGTTATGAGTAACTCAAGTATGTTCTCCACAGTCATGTTTTGCCATAACAAGTTTGGTATTGGTGCCATTATTGAAACGAACAGGAGAGCTAAAAGTCGTACGCGGCTAGATTGATAGATAGATAGATACGCTCAAAGTCGCCAAAGTTTACTACGAAATGCTTCACATTTGAAAGCTAAAGCAATTGCGAATCTTTTGCTGGGGTAAGCTGTGGTCTGTTTCAATGGTACACGGGTCCGTAACACTGTGGAAAGTAGGGTCTGTGCGCAATCAGCTTCATATAAATTCAGACGCTGCTTCGTGTTCGAGATACACGCGAAAGACCCGGCTTTCTTAGGCGTTGAAAGAGGTGGAGTGACAACAAATGAAGCAATAACCAACCTCTTGTATGAGACCAGGGATCAGCCTGACAGCAGGTGCGTCAGGCCGCTAGTGCTGCCCCGTTTGTTCTGTCCGTCACATGTATAATACACTCTGGGCCACGCCCCTTTGATCAACACGCGATATTCTCAAGATCGGGTGAAGCCCCTTGAGCCTATCGTGTGTAGCGCACGAGTGAGGCGGGATGCGATACACCCGTTTTCCTTAGGAAAACAAAGAAACTGTGCAGTCATTTACATATGCGGAAAATACGATAGCTTGAGGTGGCACTTCGTAACAAATCAAGAACATATAGAAACAAAGGGAGAGTTCAAGCAGTTTGTTCATTCTTGGTCATATTCTAGTCGTCGTGGTGGTCGTCTTTGCGTTCTCAGCGACCTTCTGGGTGCTGGCGTTGGACTACTCTGTGTGCCCGCGGTAGTTGGGTCATTGCTTGGCGCTGTGTCTTCGACGTGCCGCGCAGCTGTCGAGGTGCTTGGCTCTACGTTGCTCCCGTTAGGAACAGAGTCCTGCTGGTAGGATTCTCCAGTCGGTAGCAAGTGCGTGCGGTTGCGCCGGAGGCAGCGCCCTTCCTGTGTGATTACGTGGTACGACCTTGGATATGTTGACGGCTTCAGAACTCGTGCTTTGGTGGCTCACGAGCCGCTCTGGACTCGCACAATATCGCCTTCGTGGAGTGGGGCTAGTGGCAGTGTGGACGGTTGAGACGGACGATGCTTGACGACTCGGTGGGAAGGGCCACACTGGTAGTCGGGTAGCTGCGTCCGAAGCCGGCGGCCCTAAAGGATCTCTGCAGGTGTCAGTCCACATTCCAAAAGAGACGTCCTGTAGGCCAAATGAGCCAACCAAAAATCCTGTTTAGCCTCGGTAGCCTTCTTAAGAAGTCTCTTCACTACCTGCACCCCCTTTTCCGATAGTCCCTTAAAACGCGGGAACCCTGGACTTGAGGTAATGTGCTTGAATTCGTAAGTGCGCGCAAATGAAGCGAATTCACTGCTAGAAAATTGAGGGCCATTGTCTGATAGCACCTCCATAAGTATGCCATAACGTTCAAAAATAGCACTAGTAGCGTTGACGACGGTCCTCGCAGTGGTGTCTCGGAGGCATTCGACTTTCGGGAAGTGTGATAATGCGTTGTAGACACACAGGTAGGACTTCCCGCCATAGCAGAAGAGGTCTATGCCTACGCGTTACCAGGGTTGGTCAGGCATGGACTGCATCAGAAGTGGTTCCTTCGGCTGGCTGTACGCGTATTTTTAACATGTTGCACACCTCTCGGCGAATGCTTTAATTTCAGAGTTCATGCCAAGCGAGAAAAAGAGGTGACAAGCCCTAGCTTTACATTTGGCGATTCCCAAGTGCACGTCATAGATTCTATGCAACGTCTCACTTTCATGCTGTTCGGACTTACAACCTTGAGCCCCTTAAACAAGACTCCTTTTATGGAAGAGAGCTATGGTTCAAAAGGCTTCAGCGGGCCCTCTATTGATTTACCCGTGGTCAACTTCTGCAGCACTACTTTCAGATAGCTATCTTTGGCAGTTTCCTCGGCCAGGCGCTTCCACGTTCCCTCGCTGATAAATGAGGATACCGTACTTACGGCATGCACTTCTGCGTCATCTGTGCTGACGTCATCCCTGCCTTCACTGCTGGGTGCTCTCGACAGCATATCTGCGAGCATGAGCTGCTTCTCTGGAACGAAATGCAGTTCAACGTTATATCTAAGCAATCGCATGAAAAAACGTTGCAGTCTGGGTGGAATGTCACCGATCGCTTCTTTGATATGGCAATCAAAGGCTGGTGGTCCGTTTCAATGATGACCGTTTGGCCGTACACAAAATGGTCGAACATCTCGCAACCGTATGCAATGGCAAGAGCTTCTTTTTCTATTTAGGAATAGCGTGTTTCTGCTTCGGACAGCGTTCTTGACCCGTATGCCACAGGCTTCCACGAGCTGTTGTAGTTCTGACACAGCGCGGCACCTACACCGCTGCGTGACGCGTCACATGAAATCTTTGTTCTCTTGCCGGATCGAACACCGCCAGCAACGGTTGGCTACTCAAGCTGTGGCATATTCGACGCCATTCCTGTGCGTGATTGGGAGTCCATTCGAACACCGCATCTTTCCTAATTATGCTGCGCAGTAGCTTCATCCCCTCAGCTAATGTGGGAATAAGTTTGTCGAAGTACTTCACAACCCCTAGCATTCGTTGGGCTGCTTGCTTGTCGCGTAGCTCTGAAATCTGCAGCATTGCCTGAATGAGTGAAGGATTCGGCCTGATGCCTTCCGCAGAAATTTTATTGCCTAGGAAGCTTATCTGATGAACGCCAACGATGCATTTAGCTGGGTTAAACGTTAGTCCTGATTTTTCTGCCGCCTTCAGCACCTGCCTCAGTCGTTGGTCATGCTCTTGCCTTGATGATCCCCAGATAAGTATGTCATTGACATAGACTTTAGTTCCAGGCAAAGCCTCAAAGATGTCGGTAAGGGCTTTCTGAAAGACCTCAGAGGCTGCTGATATGCCAAGAGGCAATCGCAAAAAACGGTAACGACCGAAAGGCGTCGCGACAGTGCAGATTTTCGACGTTTCGTCATGCAGTGGAATTTGGTAGAATGCTGAATTGGCGTCTAGTCGTGTGAACACCTTAGCCCCTGCGAGTTCCGACTCGATATCTTCCCTCCTTGGCATTTCGAAGTGTTCCCGCTTTATGGCCTCGTTAATTTTAGGCGGATCCATGCACACTCGCAGTTTCCCATCCTTCTTGCGCACTATGACGAGAGGGCTCACCCATTCTGTAGGTTCCGTGACCTTGACAATTATGCCTTCCCGCTCCATGCAATCCCGCTCCTTTCGAAGCGGCTCCCTCAAGGCTAGCGGTACTCGACGGGCTGTCTGGAGGACTGGGAGCACTCCTTCGCTTAGGACCATGCGGTAGTGGCGTTGGAGACAACCTGTGCCATAAAAAGATGGCACAAGTCTTTCACTACTGCTTCGGAACTGGTTTGCGAAACGGCGTCCACCTGTCGCGCGATTATTCCGAGCGTCTCGCATGCCTGCAGACCAAGCATCACTCGAGTTCCCTTGCGGACAATCAATAAGTCCTGAACGGAAGTACGGTCATGCATTGTCACTTCTTGCCTCATGATACCCATATGTTTGATCTCGTTTCGACCGTAGGAGCGTAACATGGCACTGCTGGGCTTTAACAGTGGCTTGGGTTCATGCTGGCGTACAATGCAGCTGAGAGCAAATTAGCCCGAGACCCAGCGTCCACTTTGAAAGCAATAAGCTTTCCTCCCACTTTTGCTGCGACTATCCAGTCTGATCGCTCTCACTACCTATCGTGAGAATTTCAAAATCATCATCGCTTCCTTGCAGCTCACCTACTTGCGGCTTTGTTTTGCAGCATACGGCAAAGTGATTTTTCTTATGACACGCGCGGCATGTCTGCCCGTACGCTGGGCATTTGCGCGGTGTGTGCGCCCGACCACATTTTCGGCATTTACCGCTCTTCTGCTCCTCAGCCTGTGAACTGTCACTTGTCTTGTGCACGGTATCTACTGGTTTCTGCTCTCGCGTCCAGATTTCTTGGTTTGCTGCCGTTCTCTCAGCTGCCTTGCATACTTCTTCGGCCTTTTGTAACGTTAACTTGTTGTCGGACAAAAGCTTCTCTCGAGTCTTAGCTTCGTTTGTGCCAAAAACAATTTGGTCTCTTATCATTGAATCTGCTTGCTCTCCAAAATTGCATGCTCCTGCCTTCGTCTTCCAAGTCTCGTAAAAAATGTTCAAAAGACTCACCTGGTTCTTGCTTTCGGGTACGGAACAGATAACACTGATGTACCTCATTGACTTGAGACGCACAGTAGTCGTCGAACTTTTTATTTACCACGTCGTAGTCATTTTTGTCCTGGTCTTCAGTGAAACTGAAGGTGTCTTCTCCAGCGATGCTCAACAGCAGAGCAGTTTTCGTCAAAGCACGTCGTGCTTTCGCCGACTCTGTCGCTGTCAAAAAGAGCTTGAAGCGTCGCTTGAAAAGTACCCATCGCTTGCCTATATCGCCTTCCAACCGCAGCGGCTCTGGAGGCTTCACTAATTCCATGCTGGCATTCCTCGGATGGGCGGCTGGGGGGTACGGCCTAGATGCTTCTGACACCATGTATGGGACCAGGGATCAGCGTGACAGCAGGTGCGTCAGGCAGCTAGTGCTGCCCCGTTTATTCAGTCCATCACATTTATAATACACTCTGGGCAACGCCCCTTTGATCAACACGTGATAGCATCAAGATCGGGCGAAGCCCCTTGAGCTTATCGTGCGTAGCGCACGAGTAAGGCGGAATACGATACACCTCTTGCTGCTGGGAGCTGAGTTCTCTATTAAGGGGTTGATTGATATGTGGGGTTTAACGTCCCAAAGCCACCGTTTCATTATGAGAGACGCCATAGTGAATGCTCCGGAAATTTCGACCACCTGGGGTTCTTTAACGTGCACCCAAATCTGAGCACATGGGCCTACAACATTTCCGCCTCCATCGGAAATGCAGCCGCCGCAGCCGGGATTCGAACCCGCGACCTGTGGGTCAGCAGCCGAGCACCTTAGCCACTAGACCACCGTGGTGGGGCATCTGTATCAAGGGGTGACATGCAAAATAAAAAAAACACACAGCACATCCAAGAAGTGAATGATGATGAGTGGGGCGAAGCACCGGAGGGTTTTATCAGTAAATCGTAAAACGTCCGTCTGCCTGTCCATCTGTGCGTCTGTCTGTCTATGTGTCTCTCTGCCTCCTGGGTAAGAACGGACGCGTGGACGGACGCACACAAAGACGCTTTGGCCAAATCATCATTCACTCTCTGTGTATGCTGTAAAACCCACTATCGCCACCAAAATATATTATTTTCGAGGGCATGTACACACAACGCCATCTATAGAGCAACTCATAAACTTGAGAAGGCTACGTAATGCTACTACTGCTACTATACATAGGAAAGACTGACCAATGGCGTAGGGAGCGTCACCTCTAAAAACTAACGCGATTGGAAGAACGTCAACGAATATGTCTGCAAAACTATTTTTTTCAGCTGCACCCTCCCCTTTTCAACATGATTCAGTATTTCAGTGTCTCAAATAGCGAACAAGAGCTTATAGCAGATATTGATTATTGGTAGGTTTCAGGGCGCTTATTTAGTTATGCTTGCCACGACAATTTAAATATAAAATAATTATGCAGAAATTCGAAAGCACGTACAGCTCTGGTGGTCCCGGAAAACACCTCTGAGTGGTTAATAATTATCTTTCGTTTTTTCCGTTTGCATGACGCATTGATGATGTTTTGTTGATGTAAGCTGTTGCAGATCTTTATAACTTTTTTGAACGCTTTGTCTTCATATCCCTATTGCACAAGATGTCGGCATATGTAAGATAATGCTGCAGGTTTGTAATACTCTTGTTTCCATACGCAGACGGGTGTCCTTTATATTAGGTGTTATGAATTTATACTGATATTAGAATTAAAATTTATTACGAGCACAAGTTCGTTCTAGAAAACTGTTGATAAAGCGAACTACGCAGAAATATCGGGTCCTCAACTTGGACAAGCCAAGTAATTTTTTGGTATATTGACAAACTAAGAAACGCTTAAACCATGAATATAATTTAATGATAGAAATATGATGCAATAGAGGCGGCAATTTTGTAGGCCCGTGTACTCAGATTTGGGTGGACAGTAAAGAACCCCAGGTAGTCAAAATTTCCGGAGTCCTCCACTACGGCGTCTCTCTTATTCAAATACAGGTTTTGGGACATTAAACCCCACAAATTAATCAGGAATATGATGCAATTTGCATCAATATTACGCCAGAGAATGTAAAAATAACATATAACGTATACCACACTCAAATTCACTGTCTTTTGTTTCCATCAAAACGTGCATGACAAATGAAAGAGCATTTATTGAATTTGCGTTTTTCCTTCTTTCTTTGTAAGCGTTTAACGCCGGTATGATTGATGGAATCACGTAACATGCAAAGATTTATTTGCGAGCTTCCAGCTCTCGAGAAGCTCTCGTACGACGTGACGCGAGCAGGAAAAAATTATTACCTTACTCGGCTGGACATGTTTATGAATGCAAAAGCTCATTACAGCCTGGTTAAAGTTGTTTACTCTCGCAGCTGAAGCACAGTTTTGCAACCCAATTGATGGGGTTCATCGAGCTTGACACCTGGGAGCTTTCAGTAACACCACTTTATCACTCTTTGAAGGCGTGGCTGAAGTCGAACGCGAGGTGTCCATTAACACCCTTCAACCTCACGGTTGCACAGTAAAATTTTTACACCCAAAAGAGTGTAAAAGGTGCTTTTGCGACAAAACATCCTTTGCAACACCCTTTAACACCCATAAAAGGTCGAATGAAAAAAAAAGCACCCCTTTGTTTGGGTGCTTGTCTCAATAGGACACTAAAATAGGCTCTAAGGGTGCTTTTTTGCCTGAAAAGGGTGTAGGTGCCGATTCATCAGATGGAATATGCAGCATAAGAAGAACACATAATTATAATATTTGGGATTTTTACGCCTCAAAAAACCGCGATATGATTATGAGGGTCGTCGTAGTGGAAAGCTGCAAAGATTTTTACCATTTGGTGTTCTTTAATGGGCGCGCATATCACACAGTGCACAGGCTTCTACCTTTTCGCCTTCATTCGACTGCCACGGCTGGCATCGAACCCGCGACCTTCGTATTGGTGGCCGAGCAGCGTAGCTACTGCCCGAATATGTGGAACTTGCGTTAAATGACGGCCAAATTGACTTAGAATGTGTGAAGGTGCTCTCCGAATACAGCAGAATGCCAGCAGAAGCAAATCGCATTTCATCTATAATGGCAATTAACTGCAATCCATGTTACGAAAGCCTTTCTTAGCGTTAGTGTCACAAAACGAACGCTCAAAAGGGCGCGCCGACAAATTCTCGCGATAAAGCGTGGGAGAGACGCCGCGAGGTCAACGATGAAAAAAAGAAAACAAGCATCCAAAGACTCCCCGGGCGCGCGTTCTTCTCCCCTCAGAAGCGTGGGTTCGCCGACGAACCTCCTCTCATCGGCGCACAAGCAAGCCCTTGAATGTTCTAGATGGAAAGGGGTGGGGTGGTGCCGGGTTGCTTCATTCGTCGCGGACGGTCTTCGAACCGTCTTGCCCTCTCCCCAGCTATCGCTGCGTATCGCGCCGACGAAATGACGAGAACTTTCTGAAATCTCGCGTGGAAGGTATTTAATCGAGCAGCCGAGATGGGAGATCAGCAGAAGAAGGAAGTTAACGCCAGAGTGCGTAGGATATCCCGCCGCGTCTGTCGGTGAAGGTTTTTCCATAGTGACAAAGCAGGAGAAGAAGAAAGTTTGCGCCAGAGTGCGTAGGATGTTCCGCCTTGAGGGCGAAGCCTTTTGTCTTCCGTGACAAGAGAGGAGAAGAAGAGGATTTCCACCTGAGGGGTGAAGGCTCGAGCTACAGGCAAGAGTGTGTGTCGACTGCTATCGAGCGAAGGCGCGTGGCAACAGCTGCAAGTGTGAAGCCGACGTGTTTCCGGCAAAGAAGTTTGAAGCTTGGAGAGCGGCCAAGTGAAGACGCGAGGTTTCCTGGAAGAGAAACTTCGGGGGCATCGGAACAAAAACAACGCTGGACTTTGAGTGAGTGATTCTCGGAAGAGTATCATCCAGACTTTTGTTCCAAGAACTTTGGACTGAATAGGTTTTCTATCTCTTTAGTCTTTAAGTGCCTTGGTTGTTGAATGCATGCGACTGCATTGTAGTGCGTATTGTTGTCTGGGTCCGTTGTTTCGAGTGTGGCTGATTGTACTGTGTAGTAGGTTGTTTGATTGGTGACATATTGTATTCAACTATTGGGGAGTGTGCAGACTTGTGTATTGTTTTTGATCTGCCATTACTAAAAATATCATTTTGTTTTGTTTATCAACTCTCGACTTTGACTTGTTCTTTGGGCCACAGCCGGAGTCCACTGGCGCGCCAAATAGGACCACTTCTAAATTGTCCACGCTTTCGTGGTGCGGTTTGGGGGGCCGATACCTCGGCCCTTGGAATTAGCCCGGCGATCGCCTCCCGAATTAAAGGGACCCGTGGCAGTTGGTTATAAGCTACATGTTTTGTATGGATTATATGAACATCTATCTAGCTACATGTTTTGTATGGATTATATGAACATCTTATATGGATTATCTATCTATCTATCTATCTATCTATCTATCTATCTATCTATCTATCTATCTATCTATCTATCTATCTATCTATCTATCTATCTATCTATCTATCTATCTATCTATCTATCTATCTATCTATCTATCTATCTATATAGCCACCTGTACTTGGTGACCTCGTCATCGCCTGTTTAAGTTTGTGAAGACGGAAATGGGTATGAGAGGGCAAAGGAGTTTGAGCAATTTGACAATCTGGTCACTACATGCATAACGTGAAAATCACGTTGCGTACGTTGTCATTCCCTTTTCTTCGAACAAACGGTGGCAGCGGTCTTTTCATTACACCCCTATGAAGAGGGAACCTGTACGAAAACTGGTTTTGCTGACTTTGAGCGACCTTTCAGCAACCGCGGAAAAAAATACAAGTGGCGTCTTACAACACGATCCTCTCTTACAGTTCAACCAGCAATGAAATGAAAGCTTCGAAAAGTTCCGAGAAAGGTGCAGGTACTTAAGGGAAATCCTGGATGGAGTATAGCTTCATTTAGTCCTCTATAACTTAAGAAATTTCAACTTTACGGTCCTTGTCATTGGTCAAGACAAATAAGGTACTTGCACTACCCTTTGGCGTGGATAATATTGGAAAAAAAAAGTTCCTGAAATTGCGTTCCCCATTAAAATAATAAGGAAGTATTTGATTCGCCGAGTTTTTGTGCTTCCCTCTTATCACCACAATATAATAACACAATAGTATTAAGACATCGTTTTCTGAAAGCTGGAACACTCTTCTTACAAAAGTAAACGCTAACTACGACAACATGACGGTGTTGTTTACTACAATTTCATCCTAGAAGTCACTTCTATCAATTATTAAATGGAACCCTTCATTATGTTATGTCCGACGTCATCAAAAACATTTTTGCTAACGCATCGACGGATTTTATTTTTGTCTTTATATGC